TAACTCCTGCTAGTCTAACCTTGGTCAAATTACTTAGACTGTGTATCCCCACTTGTTATATGCAGATATAATGTCAGTTGTTAATACAATAAGATGATGTTTATGAAATTAAGTGAGATAACTGTAGAGGAGACACTGTTCCATGACCTGACTGCTATTTGTCCTGTGAGCTGAATTGGGACCAGAACGGAGTTGCTTTCAGCAAAACCCCCTTAAAGACTGTCTGACTGTCATTCTGACAAAAATCAACACCCCTTCTTTGCCTCCTGCTATGTGCTGGTTCCTGGATCAGGTTGTTGTCCTGACCTGGTCAAGCATGTAATTTCCCATATCCGATAGCATGCAGGTACTAGTACCCATGACAATTCCCTCCTTTACCTTATATAATTATTTGGCTCCTGGCAGGTGCCGCAGGGATCCATGTCTTGTGGCCTCTGGAGACATTCCTTGTATGTCAGCTTCCCTTAATAAACTCTGTCAATTACCAGACTGGAGTGACCAGCCTCTTTCTTTAGTTGTTCCCTGCCTTTTGCTTTTGGAGGTATTTTGTCTTGGGGCTTTTCCCTAGCTTTGGTGTACTAACAATAATATGTGAGTACTAGATGAGCAAATGTAACAGAACATGGCATGTATAACAAATAAATGTTTCCTTTTGGATCTAGTGGGAAAGTAAATAAATTACTTTTGCATTCAATTTTTTATGTGTCCCCCTTTGTTTCCCCAATTAAACAATGTATTTAGTTTAGAAGTAGTTGTACATAAATATTCATTCAGATCACAACAAAACTACTTAGAAGGAATGTTAAATGACAACTCCCATTTTTGTTTTTGTTTTTAATCATCATGGAAACGCTTTGGTGTAGTTATGTCAATTTTTGAGGCACATTGCATCTATCTTGGAGAGTAGGTAAATATACCCTGATATTTATTAGGCAAAACTGATCACTCCCTCATCTGTAAAAGTTTATACATCCTTCATTTCATTTCATATAGAATTCTAATATAACATATGATACATTGTGTTATAATTATACTTCATTGAGTCTATGCCTTGCCTTGTTTAAGAGAGAACTATGGCAATCAGTTACATACGTATGTGTTTATCTCCCTTCCAAAACTGAGTTTCTTGAAAACTGTGTCATATCCATACACTACTTTCATTGTTTGGTGAAACGATCTGCGTAGGATTTGAAATGTGCTGTTGTAAGCAAATGAGCCTAACATAAAGTAGAGGGTATTATCTAGGAATTTATGTGAAAATCACAGACTCAGCCTGATTCTTGGATGAGAAAACCAAAGGTTGGAATAGTTAAGTGATTTGCCTGAGATTATCTAGCTAGACTCAAACTCACATTAACAAGTCCAGAGGCCAATCCACCATACTGACCTGCCTTTCAGACCCCAGTAATTTGGTGTCTATCTCTACTACCACACTAAAGCTGCTATTGTTAGTCGTCAAACACTTTTATGCCACTAAATCCAGTCACTGCTTTTCAGCCCTTGAAATACTTGACCTATTTGTGGTCTCTGACTCCGATGACACCCTTTCCATCTTGTAGGTCTTTCCGACCTTGGCTTCAGAGGCATTGCTCACCTAGTTCTTTTATCTCTTTGGCCATTCTTCCTCAGATTTCTTTTGGGCTTCTGTTCATATGCCATTCTTTTTTTTTTTAAACCCCAAACTCTTTTTACTAATCAAGGCATGAGGTCAAAAGCTTACAGTACAGTATCCCCTTTAAACAGTAGAAGAAAGTCATCCACACAGAGCCTTCATACACATTTCCACGTGGAGGCTTTGTAACATGAAGACAGGGCCCAGGGGACACTGCTGCCATGTTGGAGGCCACCCAGCCTGGGTGGAGAAACAGTGAACAGCAGGTCAGATGCACCTGGAAGATCACTAGCCAAATATACTCTAGTGGTCCAGGTGGAGAATATGGCCGAGGACAGATGGGGTCTGACCCCCAACACTGAGTCATTTCTGTCCTGGGTGATCTATTTGTCTTAGTTTTGTCTCACTTTTTCAAGCAGGAAGGGTTGGCTTTCTGAAATCCACATTTCCCATTCATCACAGAACACGACAAAGCACAAACACTTTAGTACCCTTGGTTATCGAAGACCATTTCCGACAGACCTTCTAACCCAGGCTTGCTCTGCAGGTGAAAAGGGTCAAGTACAGGTGAGAGGCAACGAGAAACTGCTTGGGGAGGGAAACCGCTCAGCAGGGAGGGGCTGTACCAGTTTGCCACAAAATGGGCCAGTTCTGACCACGGCCATGCACATTCTTAGCCTCCTTGGCTCTGAGCATCAGTCACAAACCTCACCAACCATCTGGAAGGCAGGTCCAGAAGACAGGAGGGCGAGGGCATAGATGGAGAGAACAGATGCCAATATTTAATGACAAAATACCCCAGTATTCTTAGAAGTAGCTGGAATGACCACAGCTTTGGAATCTGTCATTCCTTTTTAAAGTGAGTGCTTCCTAGGCTCATTCTATCTTGGGTCCTCTTTATTGTTTCTTCTGTATTTTCTCCCTGATTGATCTTATCCATGCCTAGGATTTACGTGACCAATTTTAAGTTAATGTCCCCCAGATATATTTTAACTCAACTTCTCTCATCTTTCACAGACCTGCGTAATTCTACTGCTTATTGAATAACTCTCTCTGGATGTGTAGGTTTCCCCCATCATGTCAGTCACATTGCAGTTATCTTTGAGGGAACCTAATTAATTGCACCTTTTTTTTCCAGATAAAGGAGAATACAGCCAGAGACCAACTACCATCTTCACTACTGACTGTATTATTTCCAGTTGTAACAAATTACCACAAGCTTAGTGGCTTAAAACACAAATCTATTTATTTTTAAAAAGATTTTATTTATTTTTAGAGAGTGGGGAAGGGAGAGAAACATCAATGTGAGAAAGAAACATCAATTGGTTCCCTGACAGGGGACTGAATCCACAACCTAAGTCATGTGCTTTGACTGTAAACAACCCGGCGTTTTGCTTTGTGGAACGATGCTCAACCAACTGAGCCACACAGGCCAGAGAAAACACAAATTTATTATCTTACAGATCTGGAGATCAGAAATCTTAAAACCAAGCACTGACAGGGTTGCATTCTTTCTGGGGGCCCTAAAGGATAATCTATTTCCTTGCCTTTTAGTTTCTAGAGGCTGACTGCATTCCCTGGCTCCATCTTCAAAGTCAGCAGTGCAGATTCTCCAAATCTGTCTTTCTCTCTGGCCTCTGCTTCTATCATTATGTTTCCTTTTATGAATCTGACTCTGCTTCTAGCCAGCCTGATAACCCAAGATAAATTCCCCATCTCAAGTTCTTTAATTTAATCACATCTGCAAAGTCCCTTTTACAATAAGAAGTTAACATAGTCACAGTTTCTAGAAGAGTAGGACATAAACGTCTTTGGGGGGCCATTATTCTGTACACCACAACTGGCAAAGTTAGTACTGGATATTATCTGTGGACAGAGAGCTTCCTAATGCCAAACTTAGGAATTAATAGGTTTACTAACTTTGTAGCCCTGGACCAGGCACCCTCAACCCTACCCCCAGGCACTGCTTCTGGAAAAGTAGAGAAAAACATCAGGACAGTTGGGTGAGGGCAGCTTTCTTTTCAGAGAAAAAGAATGGGATGGGTACACATTCTTTTAAATTCACCAATCAGAAAGTCACTGCACCACAGAGGAGTGAGCTGGGGGCAGGTGCAGTGAAAAGCCATGGATACTAAATTAAAGGATGTCACTCCATATGGAAGGAGATATCATGCGTGGAGAATGTGTTTCCCCAATAAACATATCTATATTTGAACTTATCATCATATCCCACAAATCTAATCATCCTCCTAGGATTGCCACCACTAGCAGCTTAGATAAAAAAACTTGTGGATAACCCCAAGTTTTTTTCTTTGGGGTTATCCACAAAGAAAAAACTCGTTTTTCTTTGTATCTTGCTAAATGTTTCCACCATCTACCCCAGAACCTGTATTAGAAACTTGGCTTACTCATTTACCCCCTGCTCAGTGCTGTCAATTCTACCATGCTCACATTTTATCCTTCCCACTGCAAATGACTTGGTCATGAGCTTACTACTTCTTACTCGGAGTACAACAATGGCCTCAAAACTAATCTCCCTACCTGAAGCCTTGTTCTTCCTGTCCATTCTCACTTCCAAACTTTTACTCATGAAGCTTCCTTTGCCTGGAATTATGGCCTATCCAGTCACTCTCCTCAAACTCCCACACTCAGTCCCCCAGTTTACCCAAACGTGGAACATAACTGACTACTGGACATCAGCCAGGATTAGACTTGAACCTGACTCCAAAGTCCATGCTTTTAACTGCTCTTGCCCGACTAGCTTCTCTTATAATAAAACTTTACAAAGCACCTTTGCATACATTCTTTTCTTCCAGCCTCACTATTCAAATATATAGGCTGGATGGGTATTGTTACCCCTATTTATAAAATGAGGAAACTGAGAGCCAGGGAACTTCAAGGCTGGGTCCATCAACCACTGCTGCAAAATTAACAAGTGTCCCTCAGCAGTCTTTCACATTAACCGCGCACTCAGCCCCGTTTGGCTTTACTCCTTTGCCAATCTTCCTGAGCTTCGCAGAAGCAGCCTGTGGGGCCCGCGCCAGTCAGGACGAAGTCGTGCTCTCCCCACCACAAGAGCCCTGTGAGCTTGCTGCGGTGCTCAAACTGGAGACCTTCTCATCCGCAGTGACGAGATCAGTGACGCCATACAGTGACGTGAGGTGACGTGACTAGGTGCCGGCAGGGCAGCTTCACCCTGGGGCCCACCTACTCCGGAGGGGACCAGGTCCGGCAGGTGGGGACTAGCAGCAAAACCCGCCTGACGCCACCTTTTGACCCTAAACTTAAACATTTCGCCCTCCCACTGCCGATCGGTTGCTAAGTGACGCCAGCGCGCCGAAGCGCGTGGGCGGGCACGTCTGTGTGCGTGAAAACGGACGCGCGCCGCGGCGGCGGCGGCGGCGAGGACGGCGGCGACGGCAGCGGGCGAGGGGGCGGTGGCTACGAGAGGGTTGTCGAGGAGCCGGAAGAGGCTTCTGAGCCCGCTGCTAGGTCGCAGAAGAACATCGTCCGGGTGAGTAGTCGGGGCCTCGCAGGGGAGGTGGGGCCTGGCCGCACCTGCTGCGCGGGCCGGGGCGCGGGGACGCGCTCCCCCACCGCACCCGTGCGCGGTACCGCACACCCCTCCGCGGCTTTCTTCGAGGACGGGGGCTGACGAGGGTCAGTTTCTGGATGCGGGCGCTCTGGGAAGCGGCAGCGTGGGGCTGGTGAAGACTAGCTCTGAAAGGCGTAGTGGAAAGTAGTAGTCTGGGGGCTTCGGGGTGGCCCTGCCAGACTCCCAAACTGAGTAGAATCAGGAGAAGCCCGGGTTCCCAGAGCAGCCTCTCATCCTGCCTGAGACGAGGTTGCCCTAGACTGAGAGAAGGCAGCACAGGGGTCCTCGGGGTTAGGGTTCGGAAATTTTGGCACTGGTGGGGCCATTAGTGCCCCTGCCCTGGCCGGGCTAGGAGGAGGAGCCGGTTGTTGTGTAGAGAATTGTGAATCAGTGCCTGCGTGCGGCATCGGACACACCCACGACCTAAGGAAGGCGATCTGTCTATATAGATAGGGGGCTGCCCACCTGTTGCCCAGTTTCCAACTTCACATGTATGTGCACGTGCTTAATGCACAACTACAACTTTGTCTGCTCTGGGCATTTTATCACGTTGTTGCTACAGATTTTGAGACTAAGAGGCGGATATCCATCTTCAGTCCCTCCTTACAGACTCAGATGAGCTGTTTCATTTCCCGAATGGAGGCACTGTTTTTTTTGTGTTTCTTAAACGTAGAACAGGCTTGCTCTTTACTAGATAGAAAATACGGATTCTGTTCGATATGTGGGCTGGAGAGCGTTGACGGTCGGACAAGCCTAAGTGTAAAGGTGCAGCAAATAATCAGCCCAGTGCTCTCCTCGGAGCGCTGGGCTTCCCGTGGGTACATGTGTGCTAGTTGTAGTTCCTACCTTCCTTGGGAGAAAACAGAATTGAAGGTAGGGAAGTCATTCTTTTCATACTGTTGATTAAGGCAATGCCTAGAAGCGGTAGAAAGATAAACTATACTGAAGTTTAATCATGACTTGTGCAAGAAAATTGTTTCTAAGTTTTCATTAAGCTCTAAAATTCTGTGATTCAGTTTTATAAAGTATGTAAAGTATGTTGCCTGAAGTTCTTCCATCTGGGAACCAGTAAAAAACTTTGCTCTACATCACTTACTCAAAATTCAATGTCTCTTGCTCCCTGGAGTATAATAGATTTTAGGACAGGAGTCATGTATATCTTTGTCATGGCTGTTTCTTCAGTACCTACGAAAGTGTTTACCACAGAGTAGGCAAGCAATAGCTATTTGTTATAAGTCGCATTGTATAAGTGGTATATACTAAGCATTTACTTTAGTCCTTCAAATCGTTAATACACGTGCACCTCTGCCCAGTGTTAGTATTATGTGACATGTGGAAAGAGGATTGTGGGATTTCAAATGACATAGGAGACCTAGCCTTTTTTTTTTTTACTTTAAGAACAACTATCCTAACTAGGAAAATAAAGCATATGTATAAAAGTAATTATGAAACCAAATGTGCTAGTCTGTAAACAAGTGCTCTGTGAGCTGCTATTCTGTAAGTGCAATAGAGATTTAGAAAAGGTAAGACTTGTGGTCGGCTGAGTTAGTGAACAGTTTGGAAGAGGTGAGATTTGGGATGTTTCTGAAAGAAGTGTAAAATTTGAATTAGAGAAGAGATAAGAAATCAGATGTTGAGGAAATAGTGTGATTTTTGTTTTGCGGGGAGATATATTGAGGCATTTGTGGGATGAGTACAATAGGTCTCTGATAGGGGAATATTGGAGAGAGAAAGTTTAGTGGATTGGGAAGGGAAAGTGTTAAGGCTCAGGCAGACTTTATCAGCATCCCACCGATAAGGTAGAGTCCACTTGCTGGATGAGATGGAGGTTGTGCTACTCTGAGTAGAGTCTTACACAAAAATAGGTGTTATCCTTATGTAAAATGAAAGGATATTACATTTGATAGCACAAGGTTGTTGTGTACTTTTGATTCCCATTACCTTCTTGAATAAATGCCTCACTAATGTGTGTGTATCTTGCGTATTTAGTCATCAGTGCATGTCCCCATTTCTAAAATATAGCCGATGTGCTTGGGCCATTCCATTGGAAATTTATTGAAATGATGTACCCAAAGCAATTATCCAGACACTCTCAGTGACACAGTTTTGCTTGGGATCATCTCTTATGGCCTGTGAGGTTTGCAGTTACTGCTGACCCTGTAAAAAAGACAAATAATGTTACCTGGGAAAGGAGACTAGTTGAAGAAAGATAGTCAAAAATGTTGACAAAAAGATTTGAACAAATTAAAGATGTTCCTGCTAAATATTGAATCTTTGGTCTTTACAATATTTTTTGAGGTTTAGTGAAAATTCTGTCGAATGGTGTGTAAACCTGAAGTTGAAGTTAACCTAAGATGTGTAAAGTTGCAACACTAAATGTTGCATTATTTAACAACTCAGCAAATATTTATTGGGTGCTGGCTATGGCTAAACATTGTGTTGGGTGCTGGCAAGACAAAAAATAACATACAGTATGCTCCTGAGATACTAGGTGTTTGTCTGAGGAGACAAACCACTAACCTGTTATGCTATGGTAAGAGTTAATCACTTTTGGAATGAATAAAATGCTGAAGGAGTAGATCACTTTGGCTGGGGAAAAATTGGCAGAGTCAGAGGGGAGAGGGGAGAGCATAAGCCAGTTGCCAAAGATCAAAATGGAATAGGGTTTTGGAAAATCTTGAGTTATTTCTTGTAGACTTGTTGTATGGTAGGAGTGATGAGACAGGAAAGGTATGGTTGGGACCAAATTATGAGAGAGTCTTCTATTCTATTCTTTAAAAAAAAAATTGAATTTATTGGGGTAACATTGGTTAATAAAATTATATAGTTTTTAGGTATACAATTCTATAATACATCATCTGTATATTGTATTGTGTGTTCACCACCCTGAGTCACGTCCCCTTCCATCACCATTTACCCTCCCTATACCCTCTTCTACCTGCCCCTCCATCTTTCTTTCCCCCCTGGTAATCGCCATATTGTTGTCTGTGTCTATGAGAGGGTTTTTTTTTTTTTTTTGTATTTTGTTTGTTTGCTTAATCTCTTCACCTTTTTCACCCAGTCCCCCAACCCCCTCCACTCTGATAGCTGTCAGTCTGTTCTCTGTAACTGAATCTGTTTCTATTTTGTTAGTTTATTTTGTTCTGTTAGATTCCATATCTAAGTGAAATCATATGGTGTTTGGCTTTCTCTGACTGGCTTATTTCACTTAGCATAATATTCTCCAAGTCTATCCATGGTGTTACAAAAAGTAAGATTTCCTTCTTTTTCATGGTCACATAGTATTCCATTCTGTCCCATAGCTGTTTTATCCACTCATCTACTGATGGACACTTGGGCTGTTTCCGTATGTCGGTTATTGTAAATAACGTTGCAATGAACATAGGGGTGCATATGTTCTTTTGAATTAGTGTTTAAGGTTTGTTTGGCCATATTCCTAGAAGTGGAATTGCTGGGTCATAAGGCAGTTTTATTTTTAATTTTTTGAGGTAACTCCATTCTCCTTAGCTCAGTGGCTATACCAGTCTGCATTCCCACCAACAGTGCATGAATGTTCCCTTTTCTCCACATCCTTGCAAACACTTGTTTGTTGATTTATTGATGATAGCGCTTCTGACAGGTGTGGGTGATACCTCATTGTGGTTTTTTTTAAAAAGAACTTATTTATTGGTTTTAGAGAGAGAGAGAGAGAAAGAGAGAGAGAGAAGCATCAATTTGTTGTTCCACTTATTTATATATTCATTGGTTTATTCTTGTATGTGCCCTGTCTGGGGATTGAACCTGCAACCTTGACATATTACAATGGTGCTTTAACTAACTGAGCTACCTGGGCAGGGCTCATTGCGATTTTAATTTGTATTTCTCTAATGATTAGTGACCATCTTTTCATGTCTATTGGCTATCTGTATGTTCTCTTTGGAAAAGTGTCTTTTCAAGTCCTTTGCTCATTTTTTAAATTGGATTGTTTGTTTTTTGGTGTTAAGTTGTATAAATTCTTTATAAACTTTAGATATTAAGTCCCTATCAGATGTATCATTGGTGAGTATATTCTCCCATTCAGTGTGCTGTTTTTTCATTTTGTTTCCTTTGTTGTGCAAAAACTTTTTAGTTTGATATAGTCCCATTTGTTTATTTTTTCTTGTTTTCCTGGCCCAAGGAGTATCAGAAAAAATATTGCTATGAGAAATATCTGAGATCTTACTATGTTTTCTTCTAGGATTTTGTGGTTTCGAGTCTTAACATTTAAGTCTTTACTCAATTTTGAGTGTATTCTTGTATATGGTGTAGGAAAGTGATGCAGTTTCATTTTTTTGCAATTTTCCCAACACCATTTATTGAAAAGACTATTTTTACCCCATTGTATGTTCTTGCCTCCTTTGTCAAATATTAATTGACCATAAAGGCATGGGTTTATTTCTGGGCTCTGTATTCTGTTCCATTGACCTATATGCCTTTTTTTATGCTAGTACAAGCTGTTTTGATTACTATTGCCTTGTAGTATAGTATGATGACTGGTAGCATGATTCCTCCAATTTTGCTCTTTTCTTTCAAGATGGCTGTGGCTATTGGGGGTCTTCTGTGATTCAATATACATTTTTGGAATATTTGTTCTAGTTATGTGAAATACACCATTGGTATCTAGATAGGAATTGCACTGAATATGTAGATTGCTTTAGGTAGTGTGGATATTTTAATAATGTTAATTCTTTCTATCCTTGAATATGGTATATGCTTTCACTTATTTGTATTTTTAGTTTCTTTAGTGTCTTATAATTTTTTGAGTACAGGTCTCTTACATCGTTGGTTAAATTTATTCTTAGATATTTTATTTTCTTTTTGATGCAATTATAAATGGGGTTGTTTTCTTAGTTTCATTTTCTGATTTAGTTCATTATTGGTGTATAGAAATGCAACTGATT